AAAAAAGAGGTTTGTACCTATGTTATTTGCTTATTCTTGCCTATATCTTGTAATATGAGAAACTACTTTGGCAATAACAACACACAATGTACTAACCATTGTTACTCTCCTAAAATCTTGTTTTGAGATTTTGTACCACTGTTTTTATTATTTTTTTTCTTTCTTTAAAATAAAAATAACTGATGTCAAAAAAAAGAAGGTCTGAATATAAGGCCCTTGCAGGCCAGCCAAGTGATACACAACTTTTTCCTTTGGAATGAAGTCAACTCAGATTTGCAAGAAAACTATTCGAAAAACCCAGCTGGAGGAAGTCACTGGAACCACGTCTGCTGGCTTCTTTCCTCTCACCTTATGTTGCTGTCTCTTAGCCCACAAATTCATTCCCAGAGTGGGATTGTTGGGCGAGGGAGCATTCACCAATATTTCTGGTGGAGCATCCCCAGTTGCAAGTGGCAGAGAAGAGCCAAACTCACCATAGCTCTGTAATTAGTCTTGTCCTACCTATGGAAAATTCAGGCCGAGTTGTAGTTCAGTGCAGAGCACTTGCCTAGCATGCAAGAGGCCCTGAGTTCCTTCCCTTGTATCATAAATCAATGAGAAAAGTAAACTCCAGCTACCAGCAGTGGGTGTCTGGTGTACCATAAAACATGCCAGCCTTTGTATATGATGTGAACCTACTCCCATTTGTTTCCCCAAGGGTAGTGGTGAGTGTACAAAGAACCTGCCACCCTGTCACACAGTGTCCCTGTGATCTGTAGACCGTAAGGACCAGAGACCTCTTGAATTTGTGGCAATTATCCTAGGCTTTGTCTTACCTACTAAAGCAACTAGCCCTGCATATCATGCAGACCACAAAAGGAACTTTCTCGAGTATATTTATATCTATTTATTTGTTCGTTTTTGTCATACTGCATCGGAATCCAGGGGCACTCTACCATGGAACTACATCTCCAGGCCATTTTTATTTTGAGACAAGGTCTCATTACGTTTGCCCAGGCTGGGCTTGAACTTGCAGTCCTCATGCCTCAGCCTCCCAAGTGGCTAGAATTATAGGTATATGCTGCTGTATCAGGCTTAACTAATTCATTTTAAACTGTGAAACAATCATGTATATGGAAGAGTACATGAAATGCATATGTGCTATTTGAAGAATTTTTAAAAATTAACACTGATGTTTCTACCACCCAGGTGAAATATCTCTAGTATTTTAGAAGCCCCTTCATGCCCCTTTCCAAGCAATCCCAGGCTCATCTCTCCTGACAATGAGTCTCAACCACTATCCTGACTGGGGTTTATCACTCATTTTCCTTCCTTTATAGTTTTACCATTTATATATGAATTTCTCAAAATACATACAGGATCTTGTTTAGTTTTGCCTGCTTTTGGAATTCATAAAAAGCAATCCCACACTATATTATTCTTCTCTGATTTATTGAGCTCAACATTATGCTTCTGAGACTCACTTATGCAAATGGAAATATAGTTCATTAATTTGACTGCTATTTGATATCTCATGTATGCCTATTTCACAATTTACCCAGTCTATCTTTAGCAGATATCTGGGCTGTTTCTCACTACTTGTCACATTGAACAACACTGCTATGAATACCCATATATGCCCTGTGCTGCTACGCTTGCTTGCTTGCGCACCTCTCCTTCCTCACTCTGAATCCACTTGCTTATACTTTAGGAGTGTCTTCTCCACTAGAGATGAGGAAGTGGGCTCCCATCAGAGGACAAGTTAGGGATTTGTCATGTAGTGGCTGGGAGAGGCAAAAAGGGTAGACAGAAGGGGCTCTCAGCGTGCTGTGCATCTGGTCGGGACTCACCCTGCACGGTGCCCCAAGGATACTGCCGTGCCTTCATCATCTTGTTGCCTATCTTGAGCTCTTCTGTACTTCCAACGACAGCAAATGGCAGGTGGGCCTGAAACAGAAGGCAAACAAATGCTCAGAGCTGCAGAGGAAAGGCACCGCACAGCCCACAACACCACTGCTGCTCATCTCCGGGGCCTTGGGGACTGAGTAGGTTCCTGAGCCAACCACATGGGGACAATATGCCTACTCCTAGCTCCTGCTGCTCTGAAATTCACAGTAGATAAGAATGACATAGTCAAAGGTATAAGGAGCAGACCGATAAAACAAGCAGAAGAATAAGCAAACACACAAATTAGCCAACCATTCCCTTGGCAGAGCTGCAGTGAGGGAACAAGCCTTGGGAAGGGGGGTAGGAGGTGGGTGTGGACAGACATGGTAAGGGAGACAGAGAGGCTGTGATCAATGGCCCTTCCACCTCTCAGAACTCAAGATTGTTGCGAATGAGCCTCATGGCCAGCTGAGCCACGCTGTCCTCACTCTGGTCCTTCCCTGGAATAAGAGCTCATGCTGAGGTACGGTGCCTTGTGGGCAGGTCCCCAGGTATTATTCACATGCCATGCCTATGCTCATTTCTGTTTTAGTGAAGACATACTCGTTTACCCTCTGGGAATTGATAATCATGCTGGAGAAGCCTGAATCACAGACCTGCAAGCCTGGAAGACAGTATGGCATGGTAGCACATGCCTATAATTCCAGCACTTGGGAGGTTGAGGCAGGAGTTTAGCCATGAGTTCTAGGTCAGCTTGGACTACAGAGTTCAAGGGCAGCCTCAACTACATAGCAAGACTCGGTCTCAAAAAGAAGAAAAAAGACAATATGTGATCCGTGGCTTAGATTATGGTCTGGTGCTCTAGACATCGTAGGTGATTAATAAATCCCCCTTGAGTGGCAGTAGGGGGATAGTGGCATAGCAGCAAGAAAAGAAAGGCAAAGCACAGAGAAAGGTATGAGTGTGGTGCTTGGGGGGGGTGAGGGTCAGGGCCTGGCGGGCAGGAGGCCTTGGTGCTTGGAGGAGAGGGAGCTCCCCAAGTTGACAGTGTGCGGACTAGGAAATGCCCAGGGAACGAGCCCATTTATAAGTGGCCAAATGGAATGGCTGATGAAGTATTTACAGGCCAAGTGGGTCCAGGCGGGGCTTTATTCCTACAAATGACAAGTCCAGCGACACGAGCTTGCTTAGCTAGCTCGCAGAAACAGGCCAGTGTCTCCGATAGTTCCACCATCTGTTTGCTCATCCAATCTGCAAAGAGGCACTGGGTTCCTACTATGTGCTGGGCATTAAGGAGAATGCAAGGCTGAAGAAGCATACAGTGCGCTCATGGAGAAGGCCAGGTGCAGCAGGGAAAGGTGTCCCAGGAACAGCAACTCAGTCGGTCAGGGGAGTAAACTGAGGCTCAAGGAACACAAAGGAGGGCATAACTACCTTCAGAGAGACATGCGGTATTGCAGAATGGACATCAGCCATTGTACTACCAGTGGTTGCAGCTATAGAATTAGTATAGACAGAGCAGTTGATTAAGCGCTGTGCAGTGTACCAGGTATGTAGCTCCTTGAGTTTCCCAACCACACAAAGAGAGAGGGAGTCCTGTTATTTCCATTTTACAGATGGGCAAATGGGACCTGGGGGCTCAGTGGCTCACCTGCAGTCCCATAGCACTAAGTGCCGAGCTAGGGGTGGGATGCGGGTCTCTGACTTCAAAGCACACACCTCACTTGCCTGCTACTACTCCCACTTATGGGGTCTGTAATAGTTGATAAATGTGTCAAGGTGAGAAGCTTAGAAGTTTAACTAAGCGGCTCAGCAGGGAGCCAGGGTCCTCACTTTGTAAACATCCTCATCCTGTGCAAGAAGAGGGCATGGAGATGGTGAGTGCTTCATACACTGGTCCCACGGGGTAGGGCCCTGCTTACAATCTCAGGGAGGAAAAGAGGCTTGCGTCCCCCCTTGTGCTCTTGCTGCTTTTGCTGTCTTCTGCTGCCTTGGACTGGTACCCCTGCACTGTGCTGCCCTGCCTTAGAGCCAGCTGATTGCAGAATAGAACCTCCACAAACTGTGAGCTAAATAAACCTTTCCTGCCTTAACTTTGGGTATCGAGCATTTTGCCTCAGCAAAGAAGAAAGTAACCAAGACAAGGTCCAAACAGCGGGTGAGATGAGCACTCTAAGACCCAGGGTGAACTGGCCGTGCTAGGCCACGTTATGAGAGGCGGCTCCGTTCTGGGTGCCCCACCGCTTGCTGACGCAGCCTCTGTGCTGATCTCCCAGCCAGTCCTTCCTCTCCATTCCCCGTTTTTAGTGGGGAATCCTAGAATGTTCTTCACAGCACAGAAAACACAGGGGCTTGTCAGGAGCTCAGCCCCAGGACATGCCCCAGGGTCTGTGCCAACAGCTGAAGCTGCTTGTCCTTTACCCTCTCCGTCTCCCAGCTGCCCAACTCAGAGACTCGCCAGCCCCTTCCCATTCCGTGGACTGTCTGTGAAGTAGGGATGCAGAGAGAAGGGAAAGAATGAGTTATGCACAGGGACAGTGGGTGTGGGCCAGAGGCTGGAAATGTTTCGTTGACCCTAGCAGGAATGATCAATGAGGTCAGTGGGTATGAGATACAGGAGCTCTTGGGGAGCACTGAATTCCTGCAAAGGGGGCCCGAGAGCCTGACCAACTCTAAGCTGGCTTCATGGAAGGGTCATCTGGGCACAACTCATTCCTACTCAGGGCCCAGGCAATGCCAGGAGCATCAAATCCACCTCCACTCATTTTCTGGGGAGATGTTTCCCCTGCAGTGATGGAAAGCTTCGGCCTTACCACACAGAAGAGCTCAGAGGCAGAGGTGGCAAAGGGCTAGACTGAGGGAGGAAGCGAGAAAGAGAAACTATGTTGTACTGGTGCTCATCCTGGGCCTCTTGTCTGAGTGATGGAGGAGGAGGCGTGCAAAGTGGGAGGCACTTCTCCTGGCTCCAGAAAAAGCAGGGAAAAAAACCCAAAGAAAATAAAGGCATACAAAATGCCAGTCTTCCCTTGGGCCTGTTATTTTCAACGTCAAGACACATTGTCAAAATGACAGGGTCACTTCCTTCCCCTCTTCCCCAAACTGCTGTCATTTGATTCCTCTAGCTCCCTGTGTTCTCAGCACACAGTCCCACCAAACTGAATCCAGGGGCCTCTAGAGGCCTCCCGACCGCACACAACCACACACCCTTGAAGCCCACATCTGTCCCAGTCAGTTCTGACAAATGTATGTAAGCAGATCATTTCAGAGTGCTCCCATTTCATTTGATTCTCACTACAGCCTTCCTGGGCCTCATTCAGGGTCACACAGAACCAGAATACAGAATTTAAAAGCATGCAGACCCCAACCCCCCATGCCTAGGTCTTCCCAGGGCGTGCTGAGGTCAAGTGCATTTTGGTTGTGGCCCACCCAACCCCTCAGGGTGGCCTGAGCTCTGCCTCCAGGCTAGATGGCGTTTTCTGGAAGTCAGTGAACCATGCTAGACAGGAAATCACAGGGACCAGGCTCTGACCCTCTCTCCAGCTGCTCTTAAGAGACACAGAATGGAGTCAAGCAGGGCAGGGAGAAGATAAACCCTAGCCACGCTCCCCATGGCCTACCCAGGGGATCCAGATCTAAGGTCATGCTTTCTCTCCTTTCGTCCCAGATCCCTGCAGGAAACTGACACATGACATGCGTACATGTGAACCCTGGGAGGAGGGTGAAAGTGGCAAGGCAGTGCAGCTGTTCACTGCTAGATCACTCAGGAGGTGGCCCCAGGTGTCAGCTCTGGCAGGCACAGGGTGCTCCAAGGAGGGATACCTTCAAGCCTCGCCTGGGGTGTTTGCACCCAGACTCACTACCTCAACCCATCCTGTCTGGCCACAATAGAATACCTCAGGTTGGGCCACATGTAAAGAACAAAAACATAGGGGCCGGGGAGATGGCTCAGTGGAATAAGCACTTCCCCGGCAAACATAGGGCCTGAGTTTAATCTCTGGTTCCGCCCCCCCCCCCAAAAAAAAGAACGGAAACATATTTCTCACAGTTCTGGAGGCTGGAGATTCCAAGATCAAGGCACCAGCACATTCGGTTATCTGGCGGGGCCTGCATGAAGTCTTTTTTTTTTTCTGTCTTTTTGAGACTGGGTTTCACTATGCAGTTCAGGCTGGCCTTGAATTCACTTTGTAGCCCAGGCCAGTCTCGAACTCACCTGGATCTTCCTGCATCAGCCTCCCACTCAAGATTACAGGCGTGGGTTACAGGCATGGGCCACCACACCTAGTGAAGTCTTTTTTTTAATGTATTTAATACAGGGTCTATAGGGTTTCATTATGTAGATCAGACTCATTGTGATCCTCATGTTTTCAGCCTCCCAAGAGCTGGACACAGGTGCACACAACCATGCCCAGTCTCAATCGCCCATCTCAGCATGCCCCGGGGGGCGGGGTCAGCATAGCAGGCTGGGGATCAAACCATGGTCCTTGCATCTGCCTAAGCAGGCACTTTAATCCTCTGAGCTATTTGGCTGGCCCTCTGAAGTCATTTTTAATAAAGACTTTAATGTCGCTATTGAGGAAGCAGCCCCATAACCTTGTCTCTTAATACTATCACATGGGAGACATTTGGATTTTGTAGGGGACACATGTGAACCATCACACTATCTATACTATTTCGTGAGTCTTCCTTAAATTTTTCTTGGTACACTTTAAGGCTTTTGATGATCCAAGTGGCATGATGCATTTTATTCTCATTCCACCACATTTGGGAGAATAGATGAACATTTATTTCACCCCAGTACTGGGGATTGAACCCAGGGCTTTCACATTTGGTTATATCCCCAGTCCTTTTTCTTTTCTTTTCTTTTTTTTCTTTTTTTGTATTTTAGGGAAGGGTCTACAGGGTGTTCAGGGTCCCACTACTAGATTAGACTCACAGTGATCTGCCTGTTTACAGCCTCCCAAGACCTGGGATTACAGGCACATGCCACCACACCCAGTCTCAATTGCCTTTTTAGCATCCCCGGGGGCGGGGCTGGCACAGCAGGCCTGGGGGATCACACCGCCCCTGCGTCTACTTGCAGGTGCTTTAATCCACTGAGCTATTTGGTCAGTCCATCCCCAGTCCTTTTTATTTTTTACTTTTGAGATAGGGTCTCACTATGTCACTAAGTTGCACAGGGTGGACTCAAAGATGTGACCTTCCTGCCTCAGCCTCCCAGAGTGCTGGGAGAATATTCTCTTTAGTCCTGTGAAATACTACCTCATCTCATAAGAATAACTCCACTGGGCTTGGCTTCTTCCAGGGCAGACAGTGTTTCCTGGCTGTGGCTTGTTATGCTTATCCTTATTTTAGGCTCCTATTAGCACCTAAACAAAACCATTGCCCAGTGTGTTCTCTGGTGAACTCTTTCTTTTTTTCTTTTAAATCTTTTTGAGACAGGGTCTCACTATGCAGTTCAGGCTGGCCTTGAATTCACTTTGCAGCCCAGGCTGGTCTCAAACTCCCAGTGATGCTCCTGCCTCAGCCTCCTGAGTGCTGGGATTACAGTCATGTGCAAAAGTACATGCAGACAATGGAAAATCCGTGGCTGTCTCAGGAGAAGGGATGGGCTTGAGCATGGGGCTCTTCCTGGGACTCCACAGGTCAGCCACCACTGGGCTCCGGTGCCAAATGCCCTTGGAACTAAAACAAATGGCCAGTACACTAAGCACAGTCAAGTACTCAAACTCGGTCTGTTTCTTGGCCCTTGGCTGTAATTTGAGCCATTTCAAGAACAATAGTAAATCTAAACAAAATAGCAATTTTTATCTTTTTTTTTTTTTTTTGGAACTAGAGATAGAATTCAGGCCCTTGTGCTTGCCAGGTAAGCAGTTATTCTACTGAGCCATCTCCCCGGCCCCGCAATTTTTAGTATAGAAGTCCCCAACTGTTTTGTTTGTTTGCAGCCAGGCAATTAAACTCAAGGATTCAGGCATGCAGAGAAAACATTCTACCACTGAGCTACATCTCCAGCCCTTTTTACATTTTCTTTTGAAACTAGGTCTTGCAGGGCCAGGGAGATGGCTCAGTAAAATAAGCGCTTGCCTGACAAGCGCAAGGGCCTGAGTTCAATCCCTGGTTCCACCAAAAAAAAAAAAAAAAAGAAAGAAACTAGGTCTTGCTAAATCATCCAGGCTAGGTTCAAACTTGGGATCCTCCTGACTCAGCCTTCTAAAATCTACAACCTAGAGAAATAAGAACAGCTTAAAAGTAACAACCAACAAGATTTCTCTCGCCCCCTCAGTCTAAAATAAGGTTCTCCAGAGCCAGCCATAAGCCAAGGGAGGCTGTGTCCTCATCACTTGCATTCCAGCCATGAAAGCCCTGGCGGTGAGTGATGGGCACTGTGCCATCTTCTCCACATGGCAAAGGGTTTCTTCTACTTCTTCCAATCTAGGCCCCGTGACAGTGGGCTGGAGAACTGAGGCGGGGCCCTTGAGTCAAATCCAGATTGAAAGGCCAGGACCCATCCTTCCTCCTACCAAAGCTCAGGTCTCTATGACATAGCTTCAGACGTGATGGTGCAGCCAAAGGCTGCAGCCTTCCGCCACGGTTGTTCAGGAGCAGGCAGGCTACAAAATACTTCATATTTATTTTCTAGCCCTGACTCCACCCCCCAAGCACAGCAACATGGAGGACTCTCAGGCAGGCCCAAGTCCCTGCCCATGGGATAGGAGGCTGAGGCTCTCTTTCCAACTCAGCAAAACAGGGCAGGATGCAGGCTAGTGAGTGACCAGCCTTGTTCTAGGGATAACCCACAATGTGCTCAAATTTAGTTTCTCAAGGGGAAACTGATTAACACTTGTAACAGTTCGAGACCAGCCTGGGCTGCAAAGTGAGCTCATGGCTAGTCTGAGCTGCACAGCGAGACTCTGAGTAACACAACCCCTGACAGCCGTGCCAGTGCAGTAGACAGCTGCTGCTCCATAGCATGGAAAGTTTCCCATCTCGAGGACGAAGCTGCCCTAGGCTCAAGCAGGAGGCCAGAGCTGAGCTGAGAACACAGCCCAGGCTGATTGCTGTTCCTAATCCACAATGCAGTGAGATACATACACTTTTCTGTGACACCTTGAGATTGCTGAGAAACCACTGTCCTTGTTTGTCCTAAGCAAAGCAAATCACAAGGTGACTTAGAGAACTAGACTTTGGAAGACAGCTGCGGGGGGGGGGCAATGTCCTGACACAAATAGATACTTCCAGACACCAGCACCAGGGACTCCGGGCAACACTTCTCCACAAGCTCCTGCGTTTCTGCAGATGAGGCACCTTTCGGGCTTGCTCCTCACAGCAGAACCTGTCTTCATCAAAATGCCCTGGCTGATGGGAGGACAAAGACTGATCTTTTCCATTTTTATACATGCCTGCATCAGGTCATTGACGATATAGCTCCACCTACCACAATCCACAACCTTAGCCTTGAGCCGGATTTGTCAAAATTGACAATGGATTTCTAATAACAAGACCATCTCTGTGGACGGATGGGCAGGAACTCAAGCCCGAGACAATGACTTGCTGCCCTGCTATGCTAATTCATTGGCCAGTTCACAGGAGGTGGCAGCTAATGCCCTAATGATAACTTAGAGGCCAGTGCCAGCAGGAAAGTTTTCTAAAAATGGCTTTTATTACAAGGCTTTGTGGAGTTTGGCTATCCGTAAGCATTATGTCATTAGGAAAAACTGATGCCTCTCAACAGAGAAAAAGAAATCTGTTCCCGAAGCAGAGGCTTTCTGAAAGCTATTAGCTGTCTCCCTGAAATCACAACATTGAGGCTTTCGCAGCAACAGCATCAACACATTGTAAAGAGGCATGAGGAGATGTTTGACTCTCTGCCTTCCCTATTACTCACTCTGCTACTAGGGAGAAGTGGGGGAGGAAAGAAAAAAGGACTTTTAAAATTCATTCACACTTAATAAAGCAAAGTACCACCTTGATATTGAAGGCTGTGCCTCTAATCACCAGTGAGTTGGAGACTATAAAACAGGACTCCTCCCAGGTCCAGCAGGCTGGATTATGTCAGTGTGGATTGATCCCCAGTTTCTGAAGCCAGGTGACTTTTTCAGCCTTTTCACCTTTCAGTGAATCCATTGTCCTGGCATTGTTCTGCCTTGCCTGAGTTTTCAAAGGGGCTGCCTGGCCCAGCCCAAGGCAGATCAGAAAGGTAGATAGGCCTCAATTCTGTCTTTCTCTGGGGTCCTGCCCATGAATTTCCATATCTTTAATCTTTGGGGAAGCCACCACTAGGAAACAAGAGCTGTTTTAGTTCTGAATTTTCACTCATTAATACCTGAGACTCAGGTAATCAAGAGTAAACTACAGCCGGGTATGGTGGCCCACGTCTAATCCCAGCACTGGGGAGGCTGATACAGGATTGCCACAAGTTTGAGGCCAGCCTGGCCTACACAGTGAGCTCAAGACCAGCCTCAACTGCACAGCGAGACCCTGTCTCAAAAAGAAAATAAAAAGAGTCAACTAGAAGCCAGACTCGGTTGCACATATCTGTAAGGCTAACTACCCGGAAGGCTGAGGTAGGAAGAGTACAAGCACAAGGCCAATCTGGGCAACTTAATTAACAAGACTCTTTTGAAATAAAATAAAAATCAAAAGAGCTGGGGATGTCGCTCAGTATTACAACACTCCTGGGTTTGATCCCAGTACCAGTACCACATACACACAAAAAAAGTCAACTCCCCTAAGATGGCTGGTGAAGCGGCAATGCTATTTTGTGAAATATCACACAGCAGATGACCAGAAAGTTGAGCCTTTGTGCTCCCACTCACGTTCATGGTTCCGTTGATCTCTGCCACCGACTCATCATCTGTGGGGAACTGATAGATCTGGACCCCGTTGCTGACAAGTTCACTGGTGATTTTGATTTTGAACTTTGTTAGCTCGCTCTTAGAAATAGCATCTGATTTGGCAATTATGGGGATGATGTTCACCTAGGGAAAGGAGGAACAAAGTGGGATCACTGATAGTAAATGACACCTGAGAGCTGCCTGTCTTGTCACTGGGACAAAACATCCAACACCCACAATTTAAAGGATGGAACGTTTATTTTGGTTCATGATTTCAATCAATGCTCAGCTGCCTCTAAGATAGAAACAGGATGACAGTGGGCATAGTGGAGAAGGCGTTCAACTTGCACCTGCCAGGAAGCTGGGAGAGACGGGAGGAGCCAGCGAGAGAGATGCGCCCTTCCAGGCCATGCTCCCAGAGATGCTGCTCCCCGACCAGATGCCATCTCCCAGCAGCACTCTCGGCTAGGACTAACCCACTGATGAGTCTGGTGCCCCAGGATCCTTCTATCACTGTCCACTGCTCTAAGACTGGCCACCTCTGTAGTCAAATAACATGCTAATAAACAATAACAAGTACTTGCTATATGCTGGGCATGGAACTAAAGACTATCTGGATCAACATAATATTGACAGTAGCGGGGAGATAGCTCTGTGGCATAAGCACCTGCCTGGCAAGCGCAATGTCCTGAGTTTGATCCCCGGTACCAAAAAAATCTTGACAATTTTTCCCAGGTCGTATCATGACCACTGTTTTACCAGTTGAGGCACTGAGAGGTTAAGTGACTTGTCCAAAGCCACAGAGCAGATAAATAGCAGAACTGAGATTCAAATTCAAGTTTTGTCTTATTCCTAACTGCATGGTGCTAGCCATGGGTCTCTACCGGTGCAGGTCCCAGTGGACAAGCTGTGCTGTATCTCAACGCCAAAGTCACTGCTGAGGGGATCTGCAGCAGAAAGGTGATGCCTGGCAGTCTGGCTGACAATGGCTGCGGTGGCTGCTCCCTGCTAACAGTGAATGCTTCCATCCACCTAGCATGCTATGGACTCACACGGGGAATGCAGGGAAGAGAGGCACTGGCTATGCCCAGGGAGGATACCAGCTGGCTGTCTTGCTGGTAGCAGCCTGCATAAGTAAGCAGGCTCTCCCCATTCCTAGTCTGATCTGAGCCGTGCAAAACGTTATACTGTGGGTGCAGTGGCACATCTTATAATCCCAGAATTTGGCAGGAGGCAGGAAGGTCCCAAGTTTGAGGCTAATCTGGGTTACATAATGCCAGCCTATCTCAAAAACAGAGAGAGGGAGAGACAGACAGACAGACAGACAGACAGAGATAGAGACAGACAGACTTGACTGACTGCTTGAGTCCCATTATGATTTTATGGGTAGAGCTGGGGAGTAGCTCAATGGCACAAGCACTTGCCTGGCAAGCACAAGGTCCTGAATTCAATTCCTGGTACCAAAAAAAAGAGAGATCAATACAGATGAATTGATGGGTAAAGAAAACAGGTATGCTGCTGCTTAGAAGGCTAAAGTAGGAGAAGGAAGATTGTAAATTCAAGATCACCCTGGATAATTCAGCAAGACCCTGTCCCCAAATTAACAAAATTTAAAAAGGGGCCCATAAGCCAGGCAAGTTGGTACTCACTTATAAACTCAACACTTGGGAAGCTGAGGCAGAAGGATTGCCATGGCTTGAAGGCCAGCCTGGGCCACATAATGAGTTCAAGGCTAGGTTAGACTACACAGTGAGATTTTGTCTCAAAAAAATAAATAAAGCAGGAGAGAGTTGTGGGTGTAGTTAACTAGTCCCTCGACTCAATCCTCAGTACTCATCCAAAAAAAATTAGGTATGAAGGCCCAAGTTCAGATAAGAGAAAAGCCTAAGGGCCTCCAAGGTTCACGCCCCTGCAGCCCTGATCCTGGAAATCCTTTTAAGAAAGGACAAGGCTTCCACTGTTAAAAGTAAAGAAAGTTGGTGTCTGTGTAGCCCCCCTAAACTCAGGGTCCCACACTGAGCACAGCCATCCCTGCTGGTGGACCCCAGTGGGTGGGGTGAGTGGTGCTCACACCCTGGGCTCTGACACGAGGGTCTGGGAGCTTTAACCTTGGACAAGAAGCCTGGTCTCTACCTACTTTGGCTTAGGAATGCCTTTGGGGACTGACACCACACAGGGCTCAAGGACAGGGTCAGAGAAAGAGTAGGCCTTGAAGCCACCTCCTGTGAATTCTCTAGGGCAGTGCAGGGAGTCAAAGCTCTCACCAAGGCAGAAAAACAGGAAGAGTCAATTCTCTGTGTTGCTTTTTGCCAAGCACATTACAAAAATATACTAAAGCTGCTTACTTAACGCAGCTTACCCATCAGGCTACTAGCTACACGGCTCGCTGATGTCCTATGCAGAGACATGCCAGGCATGGTGACATTTCAAGGGCAGTCTATTATTATTCATGAGAACTGAGCTCAGTGCTGTAAAAAATGAAAAAAAAGCCCTATTCTGATCATAGCTAAAGTTCAGTTTTTGTAATGGATTTGATAGCAAATGCTATCAAATGCTGTGTGTGTGTGTGTGTGTGTGTGTGTGTGTGTGTGTGTGTGTGTGAGATTTTTGTACAGTAAATATCTTGGAATCAGAGAGAGCTGAGACCAAATTCCAGCTCCATTCTGAGTTTTCTGGCCTGGAGCAAGTGACTTGCAGCTATGGACCTCTGTGTGCTTATATGAAAAATGGGAATAATAACAGTCCGCACCACACTGGATTACAGGAAGGATGAAATAAAATAATGCATGTAAAGTGCTCATCACAGCACCTGCCACATATGACATGTTACAGACAAAAAGATGTTAGTAATTAATTAATGAATTAATTACATGGTCAGTTTGTACAGCACGTAATCCTTCCATACAAAGAACCATTGTCTAATTTATATATGGTATGGGACTTGCATTTTTCACTGTCTCTTTTTTTTTTCCAAAGTTTTATTGATAAACAGCAATCACTGTCTCTTAAAGCAGGCTGTGTCTGACTCCTGCAGTAGGACATGCCTGCCTGATTTGAACAGACCTAGGTAAAAATCTCGATTCTACCCAGCTAGCTGTAGACAACAGGCATGTCACTGAGCGTCTCAGAGTCTCAGTTATTTCTCCTGTAAAACGGGGATCACAATAACGTTTACTTCACAGGGCTGTGAGGATTCAGTGAAATACTCTATAAGGAACTAAACTCAGTGGTGGTGTCTGATGAGTGTTTAAGAGATGGCATCTGCTATTACAAAAATTAGCAATAACCTTCCAAATCAGGTTTACAGATGTGATTCAAGAATAGGTCAGTTAATATGGGAACAGAAAAAAACATCTTTCTATTGCTGGAGCTGGTCTGCCATTTTGTCCACATCTATCCTTATTTTCAAGAGGAATCAGTGCAGAAAGACATCTCAGGGCAAACCCACCCCTAGTACTAGGAAGACAGCTGACAGGGCACATGGCACAGGTACTTAGAGCAACTGGGGGACAGGGAATGAGGGAGAGAATGAGGCTGCCATAAAACCTCTCCTAGAATCGAACATTAATCATGTACAAGACTCGACTAGCGAGTCCAGGTTGCCTGGCCTCCCACCACCCCCGCTCCACCTCCATACCTTACTGTCCAGTTTCTTCATCGTCACTAGGTCTAGAGACTTCAGGGAATGCCCTGTGGGGGCAATGAAGTACAAGCAGGCATGGATTCTGGAGTCATGGTAGGTGTGCAGCACCCTTCGGATCTTCAGCTCCTCCTGCAAATAGGCCTCAAACTGTGCATCGATGAATTCTACGATGGGCTTGTAGCTAGAAGGCACAGAGGGGAAACGGTTGGACTCCTTGAAAGGCTTGGAATTTCACACCATCACCTCTAGAAATGTAAAGTGCCTTCCATCATTGGGCTCTCCTTCTTCCAGTTGGATTTCTTCATCTACCCTCAGTGGGCTTCTAGTCCTGTGAACCAAGGCCACCTTCTTGGTCCCATATGAGTCCCACTTATGCCCACCAGTGCACCATCACACGGGAATGCCCCTTTCTCTCTACTCAGTCCACTCCTCCCCACCCACATGCCATGATTCCATACCAAGCTCCTTCCGACAGGCTTCCTCACTTATGACAGAAACCCCTTCTGTGACACAAGAGCATAAAAAAAATCTATGATACAAGGACCTGTGTTCTCTCAAGTCAACTGGGTCCTCCAGAAGGGCGGGGCCTGCTCAGGGCACTTCCTACTGTCCAGGGGGCCCTAAGCCACTGCAGAGCCCAATTGCAGATCCATGCTTGGGCTGAGTTTCCTTCATGCTGGTCCACTTCCTGCATTGGGCCCAGGCCTCTTCCTGACCCTTGCTCAGGAATCTTGTCAGAACGATATGGGCTTTTTGCTCATTCTTACTGGACTGAATTTGGTACAGGGTCTCACTACGCAGCTCTGACTCATAGTGATTCTCATGTCCCAGACTCCCCAGCACTGGGATTACAAGCCTGCTCTACCATGCCTGGTTTCGGTGGCCAGTACAGAAAACCTGGGGTTCTGGGGCCAGCACAGCATGCAATACCAAGGATCGAACTCTGGACTTATACCTCACTGCCAGAGGGGAATATGATCAAAGAAGAAGCTGAGCCCAACCAATGCCACCCACCTGCAGTAGTCCTATCCCAAGCATTTCTAAAAGACTTCCTAGTAGAGAGGGAAAACAGCATTTACAGAAAGAATCACAGGGCTGAAGAGATAGCTCAGCAGACTAAACACCTGCTTAGGCAAGCACAGGGACCAAGGTTCGATTCCCAGGACCACACACCACACCAGCCCCACTCCTGGGTGCACTGAGATGGCCATCAAGTTTGGGCATGGTAGCACACGCCTGCTATCCCAGTGCTGGGGAGGCTAAAAACAGGAGGATCACTATGAGTCCAAGCTGCATAGTGAGACCCTGAACCAAATACATAAAAAGGAAAAAAAAAGATTATAAAAAGAATCACAGGATCCTAGATTTTGAAAGCTGTGCACAGAGAAGAGAATCGGGTACAGAAGCCCCAAAGAAAACCTAAAAATATAGTCCTTCCTTTCTTCTTTTGATTCCTCTGAGCCAGCACTTTTCTGAAAGATAATAGCTTGATAGGATCTCTTGGTGGCAGTCTTTAGGAAGGTTTCTGAAGAATGGGAGGAGGGCCGCATCTCCTCAGCTTATCTGATTTTTGGAAAAGAGGCTAGTCTGAATGGTCTGATCTTGACACGACTTCTTTTTTTAAAATTTGTTATGTAACTTCTTTCATTTGTGTTTTTCCTTTTCAGAAAGGAACAGAAGAAAGAAGACAGTGGGTTTTTCAGCTTCCCCCACCCTGAGCTTCCAGTCTGCCTTCTGCCCATCTTGCTGCTGCTGCCTCTGGCTGTGGCTCTGAAGAGATGCACAGATCAGACCAGCCAGTGCAGCCAAATCAGCCAAACAAGATTCGGTTCAGGGGAACCGGAAATGGGTGACTCATCTCTGTCTTAGTCATCTTTGGATTCTCAGTGTCTGGCCTGCTGTCTGGAATATAGCACGAATTCTGTCTACTGCCCTGTGCTCCTCCAGCCCCTGGCCCCATGGCCCATCTTCTCACATGTCACCCTGCCCCGCACTCTGCTGGGCTCCCTGGCCTCCCACCCATGGGCTACAAAGACCTTATTGCACAGGCCACCTCCTCACCACCTGCTGCCTTGCTGTAGGCCACACCTGAACGTCTTTTAAAGGCGGAGAGCTTCGCAATGGTGCACTGCTGGGCTGAGCAACTTCCTTCAGGCCCTTTCCTCCCTGGGTACTACGATCTCCTCCATCTCCAGCAAAAGCCAGCTCCAACAGACTCGACCCCTCCCTTCACCACCACTGCTAATCTTTCCCCATTTAAAACACTAGTTTTTTTGTTTGTTTGTTTGTTTTTGTTTTTTGGTGGAACCGGGGATTGAACTCAGGCCTTTGCCTTTGCCAGGGAAGCACTTATTCCACTGAGCCATCTCCCCGGCCCCTAAAACACGAGTTCTTAAAAACTAAAAATAAAATATGAGTTCTTAACCTGAGGTCCTCAGTCTTCCCAGGGGTTGATGGATAGAAACCAGAGGCTCCACAGACTTACATAGAAAAAATGCCTCACTGTCACTAATCTTGAACTGAATTCTAGCAGTTTCTTCAGCTATAAATGTAGGTGATATCTACAGGATGTTTGCAGCATCTGATTTCACAGCCACCAGAAATCCCTGATATTTTTGTTTCCTATTGCAATGGCTGCAAATATCTCAGTAGTGCATTCATGCTCATGGCAACTTCCAAACTCTGATAATTATTAAGCCTGCAAATAGACACTGTTATTTCAAGAATTAATAGAGAAGCACATGAATTGTTAAATTATGATGTTTAGATAATTTGGTAACTGTATTTTTAGTAAAATCAGTATATTTGGGCATTTAAAATTATTATTTTGAAAATAAGCCTTCAGGCCACACTAGACTGCTAAAGGGACCAATGGAACAAAGCAACCTCTGGTCTACACAATTTGTTTTTCTTGCAGTACGAGTGACTGAACCCAGGGCCTTCACACCAGGGTGGGTTATATCTCCAGCCCTTTGGCTTTTTTTTTTTTTTTTTTCAGAACCAGAGATTGAACTCAGGCCGCTTGTGCTTGCCAGGCAAGTGCTTATTCAAACTGAACCATCTCCTCAGCCCTGGCATTTTTTTTTTCTGAAACAGAGTCTCACTAAGTCAGTACGTTGCCCAGGCTGGGCTCATACTTGCAAACCTCTTGCCTCAGCCTCACAGAGTGCTGGACTAACAGGTGTTTGCTACCACACTTGGCTTGGATAACACTTCTTCATTTCTTCATGTTTAAGTACTCCTTCACTGCATGTACTATGAAGATACTACTGTATGCTAATAGGACAAAAGTGATGGGGGTCCAGTGTAGGGAGCCCCTGAAGCTGGAAAATCAGTCAAAGGTGTGTAGGCGGGACTAGGTCTCAAAGCCTAACACAAACAAGCTACCTCAGTCCTGAGATAAGCATTCTGACTGGTTAACGGCTACTATTCACTAGGCAACCTTGTGGTGTTACTAACTTTATAAAAGGAATAAATAAATGTAGGTTTCATTGTGCCGGAGCATGACTCTAGCCCATTAAGCAGATGACTGACCACCTAGCCCAGCTTTTGTCTCTTGTCTATCTTTCTCATTCCTGTCGCCGTGTCTCCCCAGGTAGAACCATTTGCAGTAAGACCAACGGATCCCTACATTTGGTGCCCGAACAGGATGCCCAGTACAAGATAAGTGCTGGTGCAGGAATCACTTCCAAAGAGCGTGCACAAGCGAGGGAAGTGGACTGATTGGAGCCAGCGGTAGTCTGCACAGGTGAGCATTGGCGCTGGAGCACTAGGTGTAAAACTTGGGGATGGGGCTTACTAGGGCCAGGAGGGGCTCACTAGGGCCAGAGAGATACGAGACCACAAAGAGAGAAAGAGACTTGAGAGAAGCCTAACAGGGAAACTTTTTCTTTTCTTTTCTTTTTTTTTTTTTTTTGTATTTTTTTAGGGAAGGGTCTACAGGGTGTTCAGGGTCTCACTACTAGAGATTGGACTTATAGTGATCTGCCTGTTTACAGCCTCCCAAGAGCTGGGATTACAGGTGCATGCCACCACGCCCAGTCTAGGGAAACATTTGATTGAGTTAAAAATGGGAAACACAGAGTTTCAAGGACCATGGATGTTCATAGCTGTATATGAACGTGTTTGTTGTTTTCTTGGTTTTTGTATTTGTGCTACTTTTTAAGACTACCATAAAAGACTTGGCATGGAGTGCTGTTTTGAAATCAAGTCCCAAATGGGGCAAGAAGGATAGAGCAAAGAAATAATAGATAGCATTTAAACCCTCTAGCTTTGCTCAATTAGATAAGAAAGGAAAAAGTTCTTTTAAACCTGAACAGCACTGGGCCGCTGGGGGAGGGGCACAAACTGGGCTCCTCGAGGCCTCCCTGCACTAGTCTTGAGCAGACCCCCCTGGGGTTCCCCAGCTGCCTGCCCTTCTGTTTGCACCATCCAGCCACAAAGCTTGGCGCGTACCACCAGCTACAGTCCTGTGCACTTGATGCTATATAGGGGGCCATGACTGTGGTACGCAGTGGCCTTGGCACTGGCTATGCACGTTGGGGGCATCGCAAATTTGTTAGAGTCAGGATGGTGTCTCTGGTTAAAATCTGGGCAAAAGTAAAACATATAACGGGTTTTAAGGCATCACAAGCCTCCATCCTGGCCCTGGCAGCTCAGGGAAATCTTCCTGAGTCCCAGATCAGGACTTCAGCCTCAGGGGAAGTACAACCATTTTATCTCCCTTGCAATTGGCATTGAAGAAAGCCAGACGGGCGGGGGAGTCCATGGAGGGTTTGCCCTGTTTCTGAAGTTGTAGTCCCTAATAATCCAAGACAAGTTGTAGGTCTTCATGAATTCGTACCTTTTAAAGCCTTAAAAGAATTGAAACACGGCCCTACGGCTCCCTTTACCTTGAGTTTAGTAGAAATGCTACAACAGCAGACTATGGCCCCAAGTGATTGCAGAGGAACAGCTAAAGCATGTTTGAATCCAGGAGATTATTTATTGTGGAAAGGAAATTTCTTTGAATACTGCAGGGAACAGGCAGCTGGAAATGAGAGGTTCACAACTTAGCCTTTACAAAAGATTTGCTAATTGCAAAGGGAGCTTTTGGTTGCACAAACAATCAACTTACCTTTGCATTGCAAATATATGAGTAAAAAAGATAGCTGCCATTAGGGCCTGGAGGGAACTGCTCTG